AAAAAAAAAAAACTGCAGCCATATCAGCTGTCTTCAGGAGCTTTCCCAGAGCCCAGCCCAGTGATCTCCCCTACATCTCGCCTGCCGCCCTTGGTTATCAGGGAAGCAGGAAAATGTAGACCATTGCCTCCTGGAATAAAAAATTAGAGTTTGGTTAATAAGGGAAAAGGGGTAAGCAATGAGCCGTTTTATCCACATAAGGGCACTTTAAAAATCCACTGTATTCTTTTAAAAAAAAAATTGAGATATAATCGACATATATTAGTTTAAGGTGTAAAACATAACGATTTGATATATGTGTATATTGTGAAATGATCACCAAATAAGCTTCGTTAAAATCTATCACTACCCATAGCTAACGACTTTTTTTATTGTGATGAGAACTTTTTTTGGCGATAAGAACTTTTAAGCCCACTCTCTTAGCAGCTTTCGAAACGTACAGCAAGTATGAACTGTAGTCACCGTGCTGAACGTGGCGTCGCCAGGATTTACTCATCTCCCAGCTGGAAGGTGGGGCCTTTTGACCCCTTTGCCCCATATGGCCCCTGTGTATCCTTCTATATGTCACAACTATGAAATGGAAGCCAGGATCCTGAAAACATGTACGGAATACTCAAATGAAGAGCCCAGGGGAAGCAACAGAGGTGGCACAATGTGATCACTTACGGCTGCGGGACGGTAACGGGATTTATCGGTCAGCATTGTCGAACGTGTCAGCAAGAGGCAGATTCGTGGACGGGCACTAGACAGCTATGACACAGTGTAATTTGATTCGTGGAGAGGCCAGTTAGCCTCAAAACTGCATGTCCCCTGGAGACTTGTTGATGTCTCAGAATCCTCAGTTCCCTTCCTTGAGTCTGTAACAATGCAGCTAGAACAGAGCAGGATAATTCATTAATCCATATCAGTTACTAAGACCTCAAATTAAAGGAGTTTAATCTACTCAAGGGACTTAGAGATTGGTTGGTGAGACCCAAACCCCTTCCTTTTCTAGCTGAGGAGATGAAGAGAGGGACTGAGTGGTTTTCCCAAGGTCACACGTGCCGTGGCAGGGCTGGGGCTGCGGGGTGGGGGGCACTGGGTGCCCGCTGCCGGGTGGGGACACCAGGAAGCAGTAGGGAGGCTGGAGAAGGGGAAGCTGGGGTGCCAGATGTATAAATTGAGTTTATTTATAGCCTGCCTTTTCCCCACGAGGACTTGAGGTAATTGGCAGTTTGGGCTGTTGGGTGGCTCTTCCTTGAGTATTTGGCTCCTTCTTCACGGCTGGCCATGCTTGAGCAATGCTAAAAAACGTCCAGCGTGTTCTGGGGACCCGTGCTTCGGGCAGCTGCATATACCTGGAACGAAGACGGAACCAAAGTTTGCTCTGGCTTTGCGAGCCTGCCCTCTTTCCTCGAGAGTCCTGACAGGCCGCCCTGGCCCAGGGTCACGCGCACGCCCATGCGGGGCCACCGACAAAGGTGAAGGTGCTCTTGAGGCATTCGGATCCTTCAGGAACAGTCTCTCTCCAGTTTTCAAAGGAAACCATTCGGTACATCGATAGAGTTTCCTATTCCGCTTTAAATTCTCGGGTATGTTTTTCTTCACCTTTAGTACCTGCTGTGGAGTGTCCTTGTCAGGAGGTCTGATTTCAGCCCAGATCCCATAGTTTGTTATTTCAGGTGGCTCGCGTGTCATGCCGTGTGAGAGCTCAGAAGTCAGATTGTGTGGGCTCGAGTCCCAACTCTGCCATTTACCCGCTGCGTGAGCTCAGACGATTTCTGAATTGCTCTGGGCCTCCGTTTCCCCATCCACAAAATGGGACAGTGACGGCAACCATGTGGAGAGTTGTTGACATGATGACTGTCAGCGGGGCTTCCTCGGCTCAGTGCCCGGTAAATATAAACACTCAATGCACGTGAGCTGGAATTATGATTTCGGTTTACCATGGCAACATCTTATGACTTTAATACATGTTTTTAATATATCACCACTAGCATCGATGTTTCGACTCTTCCTTCTGAACAGTCTTGAGAACAATTGTTCTAAAAATCTCCTGCCTCGCACACATGCTGTCTTTGCCACCCTCACCCGCTCTCGTTATCGCCCTCGGAGTTTTTCCAGTTTTGACTTAACCTGGAGCTTACATAACTCACCTCATTCTAACTAAATCGGTGTGTGATGACTGGCTTTTCTCATACTCACACACGTGACACATCACCCAGGCAGCCTCAGGACGACACCGGGCTCACCTCTGGAACTTGGGACTTCTTGGAATTGTCATCCGTGGTACTTCGCAAGGGGCAGCAGAGTAGCTGTTACCCTCCTGGCCTTGGGGGTTTCCACAGAATCCTGCATCAATCCATACACATGATTTGAAATTCCATTTCTGTCTCAGCGCACTAGATAGGAATTTCTTGCGAATGTTTGAAATTGCTCTTGGGGAACTTGCTATGGACCTGCAGTATCCTACCCCCGTTGACCCCCCCTCCCCTCCCCAGTGCCTGGCACCCAGTAGGTGTTACAAAAAACTGTTGAATGGCCAGAGTTGCATAACATAGTGTAACCACTCTGGCAAACACCCATTTTAAAATGAAAGTATTGAGGTGGGCTGTTTAAAAATCCTTATTGATAGCACCAGACTTAATTATTTTCCTTCTCTGTTAAAGGGATGACATCTCTTGTCAACAAAGAAAGTGAGTCCGCATCTCACTTTCAGACTTGAAGTTGTGACGGTGTTAATCCCTTTAGCCAGTCTGGTTCCCTAATCATTTCTTTCTTGTGGTCACAAAACTGTGTGTGTGTTTTAAGAGAAGGCACAAGACTTTTGCAATACATGGTTACAAAACAGCAACTTGTCATTGTACTGGATTTCTCATTTCTTGCTATTTGAGGCGTCCCTCTTCTTTTCCCACACCCAAGTAACCTCTGAACTAAGACCCACAGCTCTTATTTTTTAACTGTTTTAAGCATACTTGACTCCCTATATACACATGAGTTTGTCTCCTTCAAAGTGTGGGAGGATGTGCACTTATCCCATTACCTTGGAACTTTTTTGGATCAGTTCTTGTTGGTGGCAAATCTTTGCCTACTGAGGGTGGATTGAATTTTTGGAAACAACCAAAGCCTTTTTTCAGAGCCGTCCCTGATGACTAAGTTTGGAGATCAAGCTGGATCAAGATCATACGGTTTGAGGTCAAAATCAAACAAAGCCTGTCTGTAAGAATAATGAGATGGAGTGGCTTTCTGGAGTAGCTGTAAAGGTGTCCCTTGAGGCAGCATCTAGAGGGGATGTCAGGGGTCTCACACTCAGTTAGTGGACCCCTTGCTGGCTCCCAGGGGTGCCTTCCAAAGTGAAGAACAGGAGAGACAGTGGAACTGGGATCCCGTTTCGCCCACTGGCTGGAGTCTGTGAATCCGAGCAGCCTTGAATGGACGTAGATCCCAGGACCTCATCTGTGAAACAGGGATCTTCATGCTTTCCTCCAGTGTCACTTTTAGGATAAAATCAATATTGTGTGTAAAATACCTCATCTAGTGCCTGGTCCTTGCTGATGCTCAGTGGGTGGTGGCTCCTCTTTCTTTTCCCCTGTCTTAAAGGAGGGCGGTGGTTTGAATATGCCATTTCAGAAACATGTGCCTAAAACTCACGTTTCTTAAAAAACTGCACCCTCAAAATGAGGTTAGGGTAGCCGACGTGCGGAGTTTCCTTCAACTGGAGCAGTCTGTTGTTGGCCGGGGAGAAGTGTGGACAGGAGAGATGGATAACCTGGCCACCACCACTGAGAAGAGTCCCGGCAGCTCCCGGGAGGGGAGTTCTGCAGAGCTGCCCCACTTCCCACTTCAAGCCCCACGGCGCCCCCGGCCCAGCCTGGCTGCCTAGGCTGAAAGGGAGAAGGGTAGGATTCCCGAGTAATTAAAGGGAATTTGGAAGGCTGGGATGTTGCGGAATGTTAGATCAGTAGCTAGAACAGCATGTGGTGTTCTTTAGGCAGGCTTCATTGAATCCATACAAAAAGAGAAAGAGGGGCTGCCTGCCGTCTGCTCATTTATCAAACAGCGAAACTCAGCTTTCACAGCTCCACAAAAGTGTTTGACTGTTTGCTGAGTCTTGCTCCAGAAATTAAAAGCTGAGCAGCCTTAGTGGGGCTGAACCGACTCTGCATTTTGAGACTCAAACCAAACTGTGCTGGGCTTTCAGATTCTGGGACCAGCTGATTATTTGGTGGAAAGAGAGGAGAATAATTTGTAATTTGCAGCCCATAAGAAACACTTAAAAAAAAAAGCAACAGCAAACCCACTTCCCACAGGTTTTTGTTGCAGCTGGAGGGAGGAGGTGCAATCTGTAACAGCCCTTTCTTTGCTCAGAGTGGGAGAAGTCTTGGTCAGAAAGGGATGCAGTAACAGCAGTGTCTCCACCCATCCCCCACCCCGCCAACTCAGCCACTGGCCCTTCCTCGTAGTTCTCTGCTTGAAATTACCTTTCTCTCTCTTGGAGGAGGAGGAGAGGACTCGGCCTTCCAGTATTTCTAGATAAAAAGTATTTTCACAAAGAGAACTAAATATTCCAACAGCACAAATATATTGTTGGGAGACCAGGATTTACCATGGAAGCCTGAAAAAAAAACGAGTCGAATGAGGATCCTCCAAAAACCCATCAAATGGGTAACTCTGTCAGTGAAGAGAATGGGCTAGAAGAGGTTGAAGATCGCGGAGACAGACGAGGGTGTTACCACAATGTGGCCCCCTCTGCTCCAGCGCCCAGCCCGTCAGCGGGTCACTGTCCCCCTGTGCCACCAGGAGAGCCCACTGAGGGAGAGCCTTGCTGTAAGCCTGTGAGGTTAGCTGAGCAAGCGTTTTATCCCCATTTTACAGACAAGAAACCTGATGCTCAAATGGAAGCTCTCTTTTGGCTCCTCAGTTTAGCACATTTTTTCCAAAGTGATAATCGCCTTCTACACTTCACAGAAAGCAACTTTATGGTATCTTTGACGACCCTTGAAATGTTTCTCCCCTTTAATCAAGCAGCTCCACACTTGAGAAACTATTATGAGCGGAGAACTCCTAAAACGCTAGCAATAAAAATAAAAATCATTATGCAAAAGGTACCACTTATAGCATGATTTATGTCCACACAACACTGGAAACAACTTCCGTGGTCAGCCAAAGAGATACTTCACTTTACTCTCTCATTTACTGAATCAATGAATTAATGTGCTGAGCTGTAATGTCTCCTCCCTGGACTACACAGTGGCCTTTTGATGGCCTCCCTGCTTCCACCCTAGGCCCCGATGGTCCCTTCTCCACCCAGCAGCCAGAGCCATCCTTTGGAAAGCTAAGTCAGACTTGTTCCCCACTCCCCTGCTTGGAGCCCTCTGAAGTCTCCCCATCTCATTCAGGGTAAAAGCAGAAGTCCTCACAAAGGCCTACAAGGCCCCGCGTGAACTGTTCTCCATCACCCCCTCCTGGCCTCCTGACCTCATCTTCTGCTCTCCTGAGTACTGGCTATGCTCCGGCCACATTGACCTCCTCGCTCTTCCTGACGCACATCACACAAGCTCCTACCCCAGGGTCTTTGCACTGCCTGTTCTCTGGGCTTGCACCCTCCCTCCCCTAGATATCCATGAGGTTCATTCCCTCACTTTCTTCAGGTCACCACTCAAATGCCACATTAGCACTTAGCCCCTATCACCCTAAAGAAGAACCCCCCACCCCTACATCCCCTGTTTCCCCCTCCCCGCCGCTCCTTTTGTTCCTCTCTGTAGCATTTACCTGATAGAAGATATATTGACTCTGTAATGTATTCATTTTTGGTCTTCTCCCACTAGATGTAAGCTTCCTAAACAAAGGCTGTTTCTGTTCAGCTCTGTGTGGTGTCCCTCAGCCTGGTCGAGGGTCTGGCATACAGGAGGATCTCAGTGAATATTTGTTGTTGAGTGAATCCTAACTATGTACCGTCAGGCAGCCAACTGTAGCTGTTGAGGCTGCAGCTCGTCAAACATGGGGGAGAGCAGTGGGAGACAAGGCTGCAGGGCCAGTTCCTGTGAGTCCCATAGGCCTATGCAGGACTTGGTGGAGCTGAGAGGAGTATTGGCTGGATAAGAGGATTCTATGGACTGTGTAACTACAGTCCCTTAAACCAAACAAGTGGCTCAGGGAAGGTTTTGGAAGGACATAAGGTATAAGCTAATATTTCAAAGGTGAGTAGACATGAAGCAGACAGAGGGCATGGGGAGAGGGTTCCAGAAAATGAGAAGAGCCTGCAGGGAAAGCTGTAGTAGGAGAGAGCACAGTGTATACATGAAACTTGAAACAAGTTCCATATGGCCGTGGGGACCAGGAGAGGAGGAGGGGAGAGGTGAGCTGGAATGAAGGCAGGGCCAGTCCAGCAGGACCTGGTGGGTCTGGACTTCATCTAGAGGCTTCATGGAGAAGTGGTCGTGGTGCCATGACTGGATGAGGGGCAGTGAGGGGACCATGGTCACAATCTGGGCATAAGACCATGGCTTTGGGACTGGTAGTAATGGATGCAGTAGAGTCTCGGTATGTTCAAGATGGAAGGAGGATGGAAGTTGGCCACAGACTGGAAGTGGCAGGTGCAGTCATGGTTTGGAGAAGGAAGAGCGCTTACTTGGCTGAGGAATCAGGAAAGGTGCACGGAGGAGCTGCGTGCATGCTGGGTGTCTGGGGATTGCTGCAGGGGGAAGGTGCAGAAGCATGGAGCCCAGAGAACTGGCCAGCACCAAGTAGTCTGATCTGGATGGAGCATGGGGCTCACGCAAGGACATTTTGAGAGCAAAGAGTGAAACAGAATGGGGAGTTGCACAGTGCATCCGAGCTCCAGAAGAAGGAGCCTCCGCTGAGTCAGCTGGCTGTGGAGAATTGTCAGAGGCCTCTGAGTAGACAGGTAGTGATCTGGATTGTTCCCTCGGTTAATCTAGCGGGGGACTCCAAATCATCCAAACAGAATGACTTTTGCTTACTGAGTAATTTTATTAAGCAGAAGAAGTTTAATTGTCAGATTTCCACTTTACTGGATGCAGGTAGATTTAATCTAAGAGGAGACACCTGCGGATATCATCTGCCTGAGGATGTCACAGTCCTGTCAGCTGTTTCTCACTTTCCCTGGGGGATTCGGGGCCTAGCTCTCAGCTGCTGTTCATAGCAGAGGCCACCAGAACATTGCCAAGAGCGTCAAAGTGAGACAAACTGGAGTCTTCATTGAAGAGTAGACGGGAACAAGAAATCCCTTCATTCCTCACCTAATGTGTAAATGCAGGAATATGACATAAAAGAAAAAAGGTTGCTGTTAAAAGAGGGGATGAGGGAGGCTTTAGGACACTTTCATTTATTCAGAGGTAATAGTATTGTCTTGATAATGTTGAGTCACACTGGGTGCCTTTGAATCCCGGGTCTGCATCTTGTGAGCTGTGTGGCTTTGTGCGGGGATCCTAGCCTCTCTAAGCCTCAGTTCGCTCATCTGTACAGAGGGAATGGCAATGGAGCCTGGACTGTTGTAATGCTTAACTGAGATAATGCATGTAAAGTGGTTGGCACGGTGCCTGAACCAGGACCTGAGCCCAAAGAATGTGTATTAAGGTACAGGGCCACAGACTCTGGTCTAGAGATGTTCCAGAAAGCCCCCAGGAAACAAGGACAGATTTCTGGAGCTGTTTGCCCAGGCCTAGAGCTCAGGGAACATGGCGGGGGGGGGGAGGGGAAGGGTGTTGAGTAACGGGATTTGAGGCTGGGGTGTTGGGCTTGAGCAGATCACAGAGGTCCTCAAGGACCAGCCTGAGCAGGCTGGATTTTTATCCAGTGTAGGCTGTGAGCAGGCATCTGGCATTTTCAACGAGGAAATGAAATGATCATATTTGGATTTTAGAAAGGTGGTGCTTGGCTGGGCAGCAAGACCAGAGGCAGGGCAGGCAGTTAGGAGGCTGTGTCTGTGGTCTGGGTGAGGGGTTGTGGCGGGCGAGGGCAGTGGCTGGGGGGACAGGGAGAAGTGGCCAGGCTCAGTGGGAGTCTTCGTCAGAATCAATAGGACATGGGGTTGTGCGGTGTCCGGAAGGGTGGAGTTAGGGTGAAAGAAACCAGGGCTGTATCAATACAGATGTGATGCCCTCCAAGATTTCAGAGGATGACCTCATTGTTTCCTGCAGCATCATCACTATCAGATAACATTTTTGAAGCCATTATATTTCCTAAAGCGGTATTGTCATGTTCTCTTATTAGATTTTCTAACCATCCTTGTAAGCAATGCATGTTTGTTTGTTTTCTTAACCCATTTTCAGATGAGAAAAACCTGCCCCATTGTTCACACTGGAGACAGCTTCCTAATGTACAGAAATGGCCCATCTTCATGGCACCCATTCCAGATTCTCAATTTCTCGCTGATTTGTCCACTTCCTTCCATCCCACTGATGCCGACTTAGTTGAGGCCACCATCACCTACCCCTCGGATCTGGGGAGGAGTATATAAACCCCCGAGTCCCCAGATGTCAGAAGATGAACCTAAGCACAGAGAAGTTCAAAAGCACATCCAAGTTAAAATAACTGACAGGGTCTCAGTAAATGTCTGTTGTGACTGAGCAAATCCATCAATGAGAGTGTCAGTGTGGATGGAAGAGGATGTGGATGGATCAGAAGAGACTCCTCCACATCTCTGAGAAGGCACGCGGTGTTCATGCCCCGCCAGTGGGAAGTCAGCAGTTGGGTCTCATCTCATGAAGGGCAGCCTGCAGGCGGACTCTCTCTGCCCATGCCTGCCTGCTTGGTGATGTACTAGAGGAGGAGGGAGGCTGGAAGAGTTTGGTGAGATGAGAAAAGTCCCTCGAAGTAAAAGGGAATGAGTTGTCAGGACAATCAATGGTAATAACGGGTAATGTTTATTGGGCCCTTACTAAGTGCAAGGCTTTGTTGCAGATTATCTGCTTATGTTTACTACTAGATTTTACAAGAATTCTCTAAGGTAGGGGTTATTATCATTCCCATTTTACAAATGAGGAAACTGAGTCATTTGAATGTTAACTCGCCTAACTAAGGGTCCCCAGCTAACAAGTGGCTAAGTTTGGATCCCTCTAATCCTGCCTCTCCACAAACATCATCATCATCATCATTTTTAAAATCATCCTGCCTCTCCACAAACATCATCTCTGTAAACACCAAGGATGAGGCCTGCTGGCTGTGTCTTCACCTTGGCAGATGGCTTTGCTTCCAAGTTTCTTGCAAATCTGCATGAATATCCTAGGCAACACTGCAGATGAGCCGAGCATATCCCCGGCCAGGGGTTGGGCTTCATCCTCCACTCAGCAACACGATGGAGCTCCTCGCAGGTGCCAAGCCTGGTGCTGGGTCCCTGCTCTCAGGGAGCTTACATTCAAGTAGGGGAGGCAGAAAATAGGCACACAGGGAGCAAGTACACAGGATAATTTCAGAGTGTGGAGTGAGAAGAAGACTGGTCAGAGAAGGGCTCTGGGCAGATGCCTGAACATTGTAAGCAAAGGAGCCAATCCTGTGGGGATGTGGATGAGGCTGCATTCTGGGGCGGAAGGAACTACCTTACAAAGGCCCCCAGTGGGAGTGAGCCTGGTGTGCTTCAGGAATAGGGAAAAGAATTTTAAAAAGCCAGCGTGGCTGCAGTCTGGTGAGTAAGGGTGAGTCACAGGAAAGGAAGACCAGGAGGTAAGAGCAGGGACCGGTGACATTCCAGGCGCAATGGAATCCATTGGAAGGCTTTAAGTGGCAGGGCTGACACATTCTGCATCAGCCTGTACTCCCCCCACATTGTGAGCAGGAGGGCGAAGCACAGGGCAGCCAAGTGAGACCCCTCAAAGGCCAGGGCCCCACTGTCACCCCCGTGCTCACCTCCCCCAGCTCCCAACACTGGTATCTTCTCCAGGGTCCCGACTGACTCCCAGTAAGTCATTGCAATCAAGGACGTGTGTTTTCCATTTTCTTTGGATTGCTCTTTGTAAAATGCAGTGACTGTGCTCCCAAATTTTCCCGATGGGTAACTGACTCTTGTGTTGACTTACAGATCATAAGGCAGCAGTTTCCTCAGTTAACCACCAGAAGACTCGGGACCCGAGGACAGTCAAAGTAAGCACCGGCGGCCGTCCCATCCGCAGAGCGCGCATCTCTGAGTCAGGGGCGCACCCCCAGTCTTCTATCCTGAGCTCCGTTCACAGGCCTGGCGGGAGGTCTGGACCTGGCACGGAGGAGCTTTAGACCTTGGGGGCCCCTCTCCCAGGACCCCTGAAACAGACGCTGTGGGAAGGCCCAGGGCCATCGGACCCAGTCAGCTGCTTTAAGGAATCTGACTTTATGCCACCCTGCCTTTAGGTGTTCTTGTCAAATGGTCTTGGGCATCACTTAAAAGAGCACTTGGTGGCTTCCTGGACCATCTCTAGGTTCCTTGGATTGTCTTGCTGAGCACATTTTCTACTCTGATAGTATCCAGTCGACCAGAGAGGCAGCCTGCACCAATCCCTGCAAGGGAGATGGGGTGGAGAGGTCCAGCCAGGCCCTGGTACACAGGGCGTGCTGTTAACCAACCCGCCCGTGTTTGCTTTCACACTTTCTGTGTGTCTCATGTACAGTGCAAGGTATGGATCACCTGCCCTCAGGGAGCGTGTACTCTGGTGGGGAAGACAGATCCAAACGAGATACTCAGATTGTGACAAAGAGGCTTGTCATAGAGAATAACAAAAGGAGAGTGGCCTAGTTTAGAAAGGGTAGCCCGGGAAAGGCCTTTCTGGAAGAGTCCTGAAAAGTGAGAAGGATGAGTGGACCCCTTCTTCTACGTGGGAGTTGGTGGGAATGGAATCTCTTCACTGTACAGGCTTCACTAAAATCTGGATTTATAAGATTTGCCTCAAAGCGTGTTTCAAAAATCATTGGACGTTAACAGGTGTTCCATGGAAAAGCTCTTTTGGCCACGTACGTTTGAGAAGCACGGAGTTCAGTAGGTTTCTTTATGCAGGACTTCTCAGAACCTTTATTATGTTGATATACACGGTGACTCCACTAGAGGGTGCCTTATTCTGTAGCATTTCTAAATATTTTGACCATGTTGAGTAGCAGATCAGCACATACGGACTTACAAAATACTGACACTTTACAAAACAAAACCAAAAACAACCATATAGGACTTGTAAGACTTGAAACTAAGGGTTTTACTTCAAAAACAGCATGTCCCACAATATCCCCTTACTCCCCCTGCTCCTGCCATCCCTGGGCAGCATTCCCATCCTCCCAGGGTGGATTTCACTTTGGAGCTAAGTTAGGAAAAAAAAAAAAAAAAAAGTAGATGATCAAACTGGGAAAACCCCTTTTTGGTAAATCTCTGACAATAACAAGACTCATTGTGTTTGTGTGTGTGTGGCTTGGAAGCTCTGGGGGCAATTTCCAATGAGCTTACAGAAAATTTTGAGCAGGGGACATTTTGGAATAAATTTCTAAGAATTTTCCAAGGTGACTGCTCTGAAGAACAAATCTCATCTCATCTATAAAGAAAAAAGCCAGTATTTAAAATTGAGGCTTCAGCCTTGGTAAGAGTATAGATACAAAACCACACCCCTCCTTACTTATTTGCTGGTAAGCCCAGTGGTTGGCCCACGATGGGCAATTCAGTCCACAGATTCAAGAGAGTGGTTGGAAGAGTATTGAATGAATGGAAATGAATGGGTCTTTAAAGAGTCGCTGGCTCCAATACATTGTTGCTTATCTCTAAGATAGAAGAGTAGAAATAAGACTGCAAAAATAGATACTATATAATAGAGACAGGGAGGAAAGATAATAAAGATAGAACAGAACCATTTCCCCATCCTTTATAAACTTGGAGAAAGTTTCCTTCTGCCTACATGTGAGAGCCTGTTTTTGTTTTTTTTCTTCTTCTTTAACCCAGAAGTTGGCAAATTGGACAGTATCTTCTTTAAAAAATCGGTGGTGTCAATTTGATGGTATTCCCCTCCATAAGTACCAACCCCTTCCCCCAAGGTTGGTCACACCTTCAACCAGTTGAAAGGTAACAAGAAGCTCTAGTTGTCAACCTGCCACTCTGGCTTAGAGAGAAAAATCCCTCAACAAATTTACCTTGACAGAATACATGGGGTGGGGGGGTGACTGTGGATTGTGTTGACGTGTCCTACAGAACTGAAACAGAAAAACCGAGAAGTGATCAGAGCAATAGCTTCGCTGCAATTGCTGATTTCAGCAACACACACTCTGGAAAATCAAGAAGTGGTCTGATCTGAATATGTTAACACTCCCTTGATCTCAAGAGATTATAAAGGGGAACTTTGTTAAGGTTCGGGAGGCGTGTCCTAACTGCCTGGCTGGCCACCTGGAGGGCACTCCTGGAGCTCACGGAATTGGCCCCTCCCCCACCCCGAGGGCCCCTCCCCGATGGGCAGGCAGTTATGACGGTTGGGAAGTAGAAGGTGCAGAAGACAGAGAGCAGCTCAACACAAAGAAGAACTTTCTGATCACTCTCCCGACCCAAAATGAACTGGGCTGCCTTCGGAGGGCCTGAGTTCTTCATCCCAGGAGGCATTCAGATAGAGACGGGATGCCCACTAAGCAGAAATATGACAGAATGGTATCAGGAGTAAGGGGGGTAGGGAGAGGGGAGGTTATGTGTGCTCATCTCCCTGTGAAGCCTCTCCCATAACTCAGAATGCTTTCTCGCTGGTATTCTTTTATGACTACCACCAGCCGTATCTCCATGAGCAGCAAGGAGTAATTAATATCTTGTACAGCATTTCTGAAAGCAAGGTCCATGAGTTACTTCCAATAGCATTGCCATGTGACTATAGAAACCTACTCTAGACCTACTAAATCAGAATCTTTGGGGGGTGGAGCCCAGGAGTCTGTATTTTAATGTTTTGTAGGTGATTCTTAGTAGTAGTGAAAGTTTGAGAATCACTGGCTTAGTGGTTAAAGCACTTTAGAGGTTCAAATCCTGCCTCTACTCAGTGGGTGATCTTTGGGTGGGTTACTTAAATTCCCTGGGCCTTAGTTGCCTAGTCTGTAAAATGGGGCTAATAGTTAATTCCAGCCTTACTGGGGTTTTGTGAGATTAACTAAGATAATGTGTGTAGAGTACTTAGCACTACGTTAGCTGCTGTGATGAGCATCAATTTACAACAGTAAATAATGGCAGTCTCTCAACGATTGGGGATCATAGAGTGGGGAATATGATGCAGGTGCTCAACCGAGCAGGCTAGTCAGTCTCAAACTGACGTGGATCAGAATGACCTGTGGTGCTTGTCCCAGGGCTGATTCTTGGCCCCCCGCCCCGTTCTGAATCAGTTGGTCTGGGAAGGGCCTAGGCATCTGTATTTTTATTACGCTCCGTAAGTGACTCCGGGTTTGCAGTCACATCCTGCAGTGTTTTCTGCTGGGCAGCATAGTGCCTTTGTGGTCAGACAGACGGGTGTTCAAGAACCTCTTCTAAAAAGCTGGATGACCTAGAGCAGATTTCTTAAGCTTTCTTCCGTCTTGCTCCTCTGTAGAAAGACTGTACTAATCCCCATTTTCTAGTAGTAGTTTTCAAATTCATGTAGGTAAAGCAGTTTGCAAAGTGCCTAGTGTGTAGCAAGTGCTCAGTAGTTTCTGTAGCTAAAATCTAACAAAATGCAGCCTCTATCCCTCCTTCGTCTTCATGGACAACATTGCTATTACTAAGCCCATTTGAGTTAATCAGGTTTCGGTCTTTTACATATCCAGTGCCAACAGAGCCACTGAATATATCTTTTTAAAGATACAGTTAAGACTACCATTTATTGACTAAGAAAGACCTAAGCCAAAGTACCGTTAGTGGTTGCAAACACCCCCTTCTTCTTGGGTCTCCACAGAAAAGGACCCTTGAGTTCTGTACCTCTGAGATCACATTGGCTCGATACAAGAGATTAAATACAAATGGAAATCTTTTTCATCCCCCCTTTCTGCTTTGTAAAGTATTTGACTTAACATTTTCTGTAGGAGGCAATTTTGGTTATTTTTACCTGCCTGATTGATGGCTGGCAACTTGCAACTTTGGTTTAATTCTAGATTTCTGAGATGTCAAGTCTCCCAGGAGAGTTAACTCTTCTAGCCCAGGGAGGATGGGCCCAGCCATCCTTGGCCTTGGGCACCAACCCCCTGCTCCAGAAACCGTACCTGATAATGGTGCATGTGGGTCTCTCTCTCTCTCTCTCTCTCTCTGGCCCAGGTACCATTACTACGGCATTGCGGTGAAGGAAAGCTCCCAGTATTATGATGTGATGTATTCCAAGAAAGGAGCCGCCTGGGTGAGCGAGACGGGCAAGAAAGAAGTGAGCAAACAGACGGTGGCATATTCACCCCGGTCCAAACTTGGAACGTTGCTGCCAGAGTTTCCAAATGTCAAAGATCTAAATCTGCCAGCCAGTCTGCCTGAGGAGAAGGTGACCACATCTGAGGTGTTGCTGGGAGTGGGTGGCTTCCCTTTCTCTCTCTCTGACACAACACACACAACCTCTCTCCCTCTCTTTTTCTCTCTCAGTACGAAATGGTGAGTTTAAAAATATAAAGATAGAGGGGTGTGTGGGTGGATCAGTGGATTAAGCATCCAACTCTTGGTTTCAGCTCAGGTCATGATCTCAGGGTCGTGGGATTGAGCCCCGCGTCGGGCTCTGAGCTGGGTGTGGAGTCTTCTTAGGATTCTCTCCCTCCCTCTCCCTCTGCCACCCCCCCCACTCACATGCTCACTCTCTCTAAAAACAAAAACAAAAACAATATAAAGATAGGAATCTGAATAAAATATGGACTTTAGTTAATGATAATGTACCTGTATTTATTCATTAGTTGTGAGAAATGTACCATCCTAATGTAAAATGTTAACAATAGAGCTAATGGATGTGAGGCATATGGGAGCTCCCCATACTATTTTCAGAACTTTCCTGCAAATTCAATACTCTCCTAAAATAAAAAGTTTATCTACCTATCTAACCTCCCTACCTATCCATCTATGATACTACACTGTTCTCATTTCACAAAGGAAGAACCCCTTTGCTCTAGATTGTTTTTTTAGAGGATACAGTTTATTTCCCCATGTGCTGCAGAGGATGTTGTGAAATCATAGTCCCATAGACAAAGAAGACTTTATAGGTACCATGAATCAGATAGGTTAGGTCATAGGGTATTTGGAGAAAATGACTGGAAATACATCTCTCACATACCTATCTTGAAGCAGCCCAGTGCACCAGTAGATGTAGAGCTTCTGCTGTCTACATATCCCCCTGGGAGCTGGGATACACTGTAACTGAGACGTGAGTCCTGCTCCTAGGAATCTCAGGCCAAGGGGGAAAATGGATGCTCATGCATAAGCAAACTAAGTTTACATAAAATGAATGCATGTCTACATGCAAAAAGAATATCTGTAAACGCTTGACTTAAATCTAAGAACTAGTAAAAAAAAATTTTCCCCTCAAATTTGCTTTTTTTTTTTTTTAATCAATAAGTTTCCTATAGGGGGCCTGGGTGGCTCAGTCATGAAGCGTCTGCCTTCAGCTCAGGTCATGATCCCAGGGTCCTGGGATCGAGTCCCACGTCAGGCTCCCTTCTCCGCGGGAAGCCTGCTTCTCCCTCTCCCACTCCCCCTGCTTGTGTTCCTGCTCTTGCTATGTCTCTCTCTGTCAAATAAATAAATAAAATCTTAAAAAAAAAAAGTTTCCTATATTATAGCTTTAAAAGTCTTGGATAAATGGAGCTGGAGATGAAATTCTTTTGCAGAGCAGATTCCAGGAAATTTCTGAATGTCTTTTTGTCATTTTTGGCAAACACCTCTTCTTAAAAGTACTCACTGGGTTTTAACTTTTCAGTATCTTAGCTGATGAGGAGAATTTAATTAATATACCCTACTGAACTCTACTATGGGCCAGGCGCCGTGCAAAGTGCTGGATACACGAGCATGAATAATATGCCATTTAAATTTTCCCAGGGCGCATCGTCTCACGGGTGGAGAATGGGGGAGAGAGAAACCCATGTTTTCCACTGGATCACAGGGCAGGTGCTCCGATGGAGAAACATGCCCAGATGCCATGGGAGCACAGAGGAGGGAGCTCAGGTCAGAGAGCACCACGAATGAAAGTTAGACTTACTTGGGTCTTATAGGATGAGTAAGTGTTAAGCGAATTTCATCCCCTCAACAGGGAATAAATGACTTGAAAATTGAAATTCCAAGGGAGGGCAGCAGTAATGTGTATTAATTATGCTTTTGTTGTTGACACTCCCCACAGGTCTCTACCTTTATTATGATGTACAGAACACACTGTCAGAGAATACTGGACACTGTAATAAGAGCCAACTTTGATGAGGTAGGTCAGTAAGCGTTGAGCTGTGGAATACTCTGTATTAAAATATTGTAGTAGGAGGAGCTCCTATTTCGCGAGCTCCTACTGGGTGCCAGACCTTTGGAAACCCCTGATGTGCATTAGCTCACATGATCTTTCCAGCGATCCCAGAAAGCAAGCACTGTCCTTACCCCTATTTTACATATCTTCTGTGTGGACAGTAGTGGCCTGGCCTGCTCCTTGACCTAACTCATGCCCTGCCTCCTGCCCCGCTGGCTTGCGAGGGAGGTGGTTTCATGGGGTTATCGTTACAGCCAGTATTATAGGTTCAGAGAAACTGAAGGAAAGCTTTCCTATATTTTGGATTTAATCTTTTCCTGAGGCTCCATTTTCTTTTTATTTTAAAATAGTACAGTTAAAGGATGGAGAGGAGAAATAAGAGAGGACGAAGTACCAGTTACATAACCGGAGAGACAATAAAATCTTGCCTAAAATGCCATCCAAAAGAGCCTTCCAGAGGGATGGCAAGAAGCCACACATTTCACCCGATAAACCTGAGGCCTTTCTGTTTCCAGAAAATGCCATCAGGCCAAAAAAAAAAAAAAAAAATCTAAACCCCTCCTCTCCCACCCCCTGGCATAGGTTGTGGACATTGAATTTGAGGACGATGCAGGCTCCAATGGGGCTATAAAAACCAGGAGCTATTGGTGGACAGGATCCCGGAGATTCCCTAATGTGTGTTTTGGGGGGTGCACTGTGGGAGAGGGGAGGGTACAAAATGGCGTAAAGCACAAAATGCTCTCTCCCCCACAGTCTTGTGCCTTTCTGCTGCCATGTCTCACAACGGTGAACATTCACTGTGTGCTCCACTTAACTTGTGTGAGCTCACTGACTGTTCCCTCATAACCTGGGTGCTGGTGGTTGCCTGCAAGCTGGCACTTGGCTCACAGACCACAGCTCCAGAGGAGATAGCAGGGTGCTGGTAGAGAAGGACTCTTGATCCTGCTCTTGGCTTTTATTCACGAAATTGTTTAAACCTCCCAATTCCTTGAGCAGCCATTGAAGTGGTTTTTTTTTAAAGAAAGAAAAATCACTGCTTTCTCTCATGTTGTGGTTTGGCTATGTCTTACATCCCAAAGATCACTGAGATGAGAGCAGATGAAGGTTCATCCTCAGTTCAGACAACACCGGCTTCTGTAACAAATAACCCTAAGTTTTAATACATTAGAAGTTTATTTCTCACTGGTGTCACGACCCGGTGTGGACGCTCACAGGGGGAAGGCTGGTTCCTGGGGGTAGTTGAGGGACCCAGGCTCCTTCCACCATGTGGCCACACCCTGTCCTAGAGCCTTGGCATCCTCTTTGTTCAGCTGACCAATGGGGAAAAGGATTACAGGGAAGACATACCCACTTCTTAACCTTGTCAGCCCAGAAATAAAGCACATCATTTTTGCCCGTGTTCCATTGACAAAACCTGGTGTCATGGCCCCACTTTGACGGAAGGGGATCCAGTCCCTCCCTGGGCAGCACTTCACTACCACGGAAGAGGAGCTTGGAGCTGTAGGGGCCAGCTGTCTCTCTCCACTACAAGTACTAACCACAGAACTAGTGACCATCCCATGTACTTCATTCACCTCAAAACTCACTCTCATCATCTCGTTGCACTTAATTCCATGCGTTAATCCCAACACTTACTGGGCACCTAATGGCCATGCACCTGTTATAAGTCTCAAGAATGGGGCAAGAAGAAAGACCCAGTCTGGGGGGTGGGGGAATAGGAATGCACACCAGAAATTCAGATGCAGAGTATATAGTGAGGACTGCAGAAACCTTCAGGAGGCTGAGTGCTCCTGTGGGGAAAGTGCCAGACTCAGAGCCCAGGCTCTGCCATGAAGGCCTTTATTGTTTATCCTAGAAATGAAGATAAAAATATTATCCCTGCCTTTCTAATGCATAGGGTTCCTGGAGGGAGAATATGAGACAATGCCTAGCAAAAACCCTTTGTAAACTATAAAAGGTCATACAAATGCTTGCTCTTATCAGGTATGTCAACCAGAGAGTTAAAAGACTTGCTCAAGGTCACACATTCGGTTAGGGCCAAAGTCATGACTGCCTCTTTTGTCACCTGACACCTCCAGTCCAATATTCTCTCCACTCCCTTAGCAGGGATATTTGGTGGCTGTTTTTTAAATGGGTAATCAAGATGTAGTTCATTCTACTCAGCCACAAAAGAATGAAAGGGGATATTTTCCCTTTGATGGGCATGGCTTTCTCCCACAGCTGAGAAAAGTCATGGGTAAGTGAATGATGGGTGCATCTGGTACACCTTGACATTGCAGTTTGCTTCAGGTCTTCAAGATCTTTAAGGGTTGAGGTCATAACTAATGCTGGGAACACATTCTTAAATTATCTTGTTGGCTGGCTCACTGTTTGTCTCTTACCAACACAGTGTAAGCCCTTGAGGGCAGGGAACTTGCCTGTCTTGTTTGCTCCTGTATCCATGTCAGCCATACTCTTGGGCTCTCAGTAAATATTTGTTGGGGAGATGAGTGCATGGATGGATGGGTGAAGGGTTGTAAAAATGTCACGGCCTTGTAGCACAGTGAGGCAAGTACAGAGAGCCCCAGTCTGCACAGAGGGGACTCCCTGCAAAGCCTTCTCCAGACTACGTTGCATAAAGAGCTGTCAAGTCCAGAGAGTCTTGTGTTTGAGTCCAAATCCACCACTTACCAGTCTGTGACCTTGAGCAAGGTACATAACCCCTCTGAGCCTCAATTTCTTTGGCCATAAAATGGAGATGATCATTTTATCTACATAAGAATTCATGGAAGTGTCTGATTTTGAAATCAGAGCATAAGAACGGTAAGTATTTTGGTGGCTAATGTTTTGTTGACATCCTTTCAACACAGTAGCAACTAAGTATCCCTGACTGGAAGTTACCAGATGTGTTTCCACAAGGTGCTAGTATATTTGGGATGAAGTAAATACGGATATGGAAAAGAAATAGAAAACCTACATAGGTATTCTTAAGGAAATTGTCTCCTGATGCTTCACTGAGCCAAGAAGGAAAGGGCTGGTGGGAGTTCAGGGGACTGAAGCAGATAATCCAGAAAACTTTAAATAATGCTTTTCCATCCTTTGCCTCTGATGATGTCACCACTTACACTTACAAGGAATAAGGAAACCTCCTCCCTTCTGGCTGATAATCAGTTTCTGTTTGTTGGATGCCTACATGCTGCCAGGCATTTTGCCTCAGTGATCTTATTGGGTCCTAGTACTGGGTAGACATGATCTCTATTTTATAAAAGCTGATAGCTCTCATATTTAGATATTTAGGCCTAAGCTCCAGACTCAGTTGAATTGACAACCAACTTAACGTGGCCAAATCAGAGCTCTGACTTTCCACCTGAATTTGTTTTCTCCATCTCAGATTGCCATCACCACTCACCCAGTTGCTCAAGCCACGAATCTTGATGCTTCTTTTTCCCTCACCCTGCATATCCAGCCCCTTGGGAGGTCCCACCAGCTCCACCTCCTGTGTAACACTGTGTCTATTCATTTCACACTCAACTTCTAAGTCTCGGCTCTTGACCTTTCCACTCTTCTCCCTCCTTCCTTTTCCTTCTCACTCCAAGGAACAAGTACCTTAGGATGTTAAATGGCCTGAAATGTGGAGGGTAGAAAGTGAGGTCAAAACTGACCAACACCCCCCTCTCCAAAGGCTGCTTAGGAAACTGAGGACTGATCAGTGCTCCCTGTGCAAGTTGAGCAGGCTTAAAACAGACAGATGCCTGCTAAAGACTGATTTTCCACAGATTTGTTTTAACCTACACAGCCGCTGATCTTTTTCAGAATTTCTGCTAGAAATTGACTGCTCACATAAAAAAAAAAAAAAAAAAAAAAAGGAGTAGGGCTGCATGCAAGGAGAGCTAAGAAAGACAGATGAATTCAGAAGCTACCAAATCGTAGGAATCAACTGGGCAGAGGTTGTTAGGTGGTGTTGGAAGGGCAGGAAGGGAGGTCCAGGGCCAGGCCTGAGGCTGATGCCTGGGACAAGCTGGGATCAGGGAACAATGGAGGGTCCTCTAGAAAGAAAACAGCTTATCCAAGAGCCCCGGCCATCTCCAGGCTCAGGCCAAACCCAGCAGTCAGCCACCAGGTGTCCCAATGACAGAACAAGAGCCTTGACAGGTGAGCAGAACCACAATGGGGATCCTGGCTGGGCGACACTCAGAAGCTTAGGCAAGGTGTCACAAAGCTTAGGGGAGTCCACGGATTTCTTGGGGCTGGTAGTGACAGTGTCTCCGTGATGTAAATCACCACCACCACCACTAACCTTTATTAAGCATCTACTGTGTGCCAAGCACTAAAATAGGTACTTTTTAGGAATCTTTACCAAAACCTATGCAGTAAGTGCTACTTTTACTGCCATTTCACAGGTGAGGAAGCTTACCTATCTCTAAGCTTAGAGATATTACACCCCTGGTTGGTAGTGGGGCCAGGGTTGGAAGTCTGGAAGACAGTCTTCACGCATCTGCATTTTCTGTTTTAATTTTCGATCTGGCTGAATGCTCTGCGATATTTTCATTATTGTGGAATAAATGGAACTGTGACCTAAGTGTCACAGTTTATAAACCTGAACTTCATTCACCACTTTGATCATGTTTTTGTTCAATTACCATGTGCCCCCTAGGAAGTCAGGGGACATGATTTCTCCCCATGCCTTATCTCCTAAGCCTCCCACTCAGTGCAGGCCATGGATGTTGGGGATGTCTGTCCACAGGAGGCTGAGCTCAGGTCACCAGACTTGAGTCAGAGGTAGCCTGGTCAGAGGAAAGCAAGACCCTACTCCTAGAAGGGGCCTGAGGGACACTGCAAGTCGCCAGGGCAGGGGTAGAAAACTGGGAAGTGGGCAGCCATCCAAGGAGAGCTATGGGTGTCAGGAATGGGATAGAAGGCCTGTTACCATGAGAAGAACAAACTAGTCATGAGACTGATTGGCCGAATGACTGAGACAGACATGGGCTCCGTCTCATCCATTCCCTGACATGCTGTCTGGATTTGGACATGTAAGTTAATATCTCTACAGAATGGGAGCAAGGATTCTCAGCTGTAGTAATATTACAAGTATTCCATGAGAGAACTTATGTGAAGTACCTGGCATGTCGTAGTCCCTCTATAAATAAAGCTAATGCCCACAGTAATACTACCTCCAAAGTATTAGACAAGAGGTACTAACATATCTTTTGCATTGGATCAGGGTTGATTTAGGGAACCAGGAATATGGGTGATGCTACATGTGAGGGTTCGAGAGTACCCATCTGTGGGGAAAAGAAGGACACATAGTCCAGGAACCAAGTCGAGCCTATGAGAATTCACAAAAATTCAGTCATTCGTTCCCTATCTTCAAGATGAGCCACTCCTCAGTGTTAGCTAAACTCTAGGTATTTTTTTTTTAATTCTAGTTATTTTTAATAGTATTATATACATCAGTTAACCATCTTTGCTGTTCCCCTTCACTTCCCTTATCTTGTCCTGCACCCCAGGCCCCCACCTGCTCTCTCCCTGACCTCCAGCTCACGCACTAGAAGCTGGAGGTATACAGGCCACCGAAGAGTTGTCTGCCTTAGATACGGGCTCTGCTGCATGCTCATCAGCCCCACAGCCAGGCCCCTGCTGTCGTATTGATAATGCACTCTCGAGTGCCGCCTGTGTTTCTGTTCTGTGCTACTGGTTGGGGTGGGAATGCCCACATGGCTTACCGCCCTCATACCACTATCTGGCATCCCATAGTGGCAACAACCAGGGCTCTTTGGGGAATGGAGGAATTTGGATAGGAAGAGGTTCTTGCATTTTCTTCTGGGTTTGGTACACACATTTGAATCGGGAGACTTGTCTGAGACCTGTAATTTCCTCCCTTCAAGATACATGCCTTTTACCAGCACCTCACACATTGCTCCCTTCTTTTTGAGAACACCCAAGGGCCCCCAAAAGGCCCAAAGAATAGTGAGCGCTAGCACTCTGAGTTTGTTAAGAGCAATATCCCACCTTCCCTTCCTTAAACTTCTCCCGGACCATGGTGAGCATGAAGGGGTCGCCGGGTTAATGTGCTAGTCCTCTCTCGCAGGGCACAGTCGACCCCAGGCTGCCAGGCCAGGTGGTTCTGCAGTGGAGGGTGTAGCGCACAGATGGGCAGGGGGAAGGTGGGGGCGGGGCCTCCTCTCCCACAGCAGGGGGAACGGACGACCCCACTGCAGGCTGGTGAAGTCCCCAGGCTTTGTTGGGAGGGCCCCGGGTAACCTCATGGTTCTCCTTTCTGTGGGTCAATACAGGTTCAAAGTTTCCTTCTGCACTTTTGGCAAGGAATGCCCCCCCACATGCTGCCTGTGCTGGGCTCCTCCACGGTGGTGAACATCGTCGGCGTGTGTGACTCCATCCTCTACAAAGCTATCTCGGGGGTGCTGATGCCCACCGTGCTGCAGGCGTTACCTGACAGGTGGGCATGCTTCTTCTCGTGACTCGTCCTCAGCACGGATCGTTCTTGCCCCTCTCTCACTGAACATAATCAGCTGCTGTCAGGGGTGGACACTGGGCTTTTAAAAATTCAGTTTGATTTACAGTTTTCAATATAAATAAAAAATTTGAACATTTTGAACCATTTGTATGGTTCAAAATTCAAAAGGTGTAATGCGGTATATAAAAGTCTCCCCCCACCAACTCCTGTTCCCCAGACACCCCAGACCTCTCCATAGAGCATCAAATAGAGTCATTTTCTTGGTACAGGGTGAGGGTGAGGGGGCACAACCAGATCTGCTGGGCACATATAACCAATGCATATATCTTACTCTTGTTCTCTTTCTCACTGAAACGGTGATATACTCTATTATACTGTTCTGCACCTTGTTTTAAAAAAACAATCTTGGAGCTTATGCTGGGGCTTCTGTGCCCCTCCAGATCACTCCCTGCCGTGCCCCATGCTGCCCCTTGTCCTGGGGCTGGAGCCCTCACAAGGCTCCTTTTCCTGTGGCATCCAGCTGGGGTCAGCCAATGGGGAGATCAGAAGGAGAGAGGGAGAAGAGGGAGATTGGGAGATGGACTCTGTCTCCATCCCTGGGAGGTCACCTTAGGCTGGCTGTGGCCATCCACAGGCCTCTGGGGCCTTCCAGCATACCACCAGATCCAAATTCTTCCAGAGTACCTTGTGCTTAGGTTGGAAGCTTGTCCTTCGGACATGGGGTGGATGAGAGCCTCCTGCCCCTACCCCCCTCATAGCAGTGGTCCCCCTCATGGGCTCCTACATGCCTGTCGACACCTTCATAATTTGTCCCTTGTAAATAAACTCTCCTATTTTGAGTGGCCTCTGTTTCCTGTTGGGACTGGTAGAGAACATTCCACATCAGTCTGTAAAGAGATTTTATTCCTTTTTATACCTGCATACTGTTTCCACTGGACTGAACGTAAACAGTTGTCTTCATGTTTCCAGTCTTGTTTTACTACAAATAATGCTGTGATGGATGATGTACATTCTTTTTCGGGGGTGGGGGGGGTGGGGGGTGCATTAGCTTCCCAGGGCTGCAGCAACAACGTAGCACAAACTGGGTGGCTCAAAACAACAGAAATGAATTCTCTCATAGTTTGGGAGGCCAGGAGTCTGAAACAAGGTGTTGGCAGCCTTGGTTCCTTCCAGAGATGTCCTCTGTGCCTCTCTCCTAGCCTCTAGTGGTGGCTGGAAGTCCTTGGTGTTCCTTGGCTTATAGATGCATCTCTCCAGTCTCTGCTTCGTCTTCATATTGACTCCCACTCTGTGTGTCTCTCTGTGTCTTATAAGGACACTTGTCATCGGATTTAAGGTCCATCCAGTTAATCTAAGATCTTATCTCAAGATCCTTAATTCAGGGGCTTCTGTGTGGCTCAGTCGTTAAGCTTCTGCCTTCGGCTCAGGTCATGATCCCAGGGTCCTGGGATCGAGCCCCGCATCGGGCTCCCTGCTCAGCGGGGAGCCTGCTTCTCCTTCTCCCACTCCCCCTGCT